GACACATCATTAAAGGCATACTCCAGTGCAAGTGATTGCTCAACACCAAAACTTTCACCCCAATTTATAAGCAAAGAGAGTTTAGTCTATGAACTGAGTCTTCTCCCTTGATTAATTAAACTCGAAAAGACAATGGTGTGAATGTGAAGCGCAAAATTGCATCAGCAGTTTAGAGGCATAGAGGGAGAGCATTAACAGCCCAGTTAGGGATAAACAAAAAACAAGAGCCAGAGAGACAGAGCAGACACATTAGAGGGAGGAGGCAGAGCCAGTGGTCCAGCCCAAAAACAGAGCTGGCGCAGACCCGTCTGCACAGCCCGGGACGTCCCACAATCACAGCCATTCAGGGCTCCTGGAATGTGTCCCCTGTAAGTTCAGGCAGGTCAGCTATCTGTGGAAAATAAGCTGCTCCCTTGTTTCCAGGCACTGCTGCAAACCAAACTACAACCCCCAACACACACATGCCCCATCCCAAACCTGACTCTCCATCCCCCCCTTTGTGTTGAACTGTCAAATTGCCAAGAGGTGAAATGTAGGCAGGCGCTACAGTACAAGCACTAAACACGTGCACATTCAGGCTACCTATAAATGGAGGTAGGCTCTTCTGCAATAAAATAGTTAAGTTAAGGAACATGTTTGGTGTAAAAATAAGGCAATAACTTCATGATTTGCTCTAGGAATAAAAAAAGTGCCTTCACAGTTTTTCAGTGCAGGACAAACAGTGGGGGTTAAAACTCTGCTCTCCTCTCCAGCACTCAAAACTAATGCTTGTCCAACCAAACAAAAGATACACTGCAAGTATCTCTTCACAAAATTACCCTCCACCAGTTGAACCATTGTTTTCCAAACTGCAGGAGCCACTACACTCACCCCGGTTGGAGGCGGAACGACTCACAATTTCCATCGAGTTGAACTCACACACACTTTGCAGCTGACCTCTCAGAAAGCTTCCAAACAGATTACAACTTTATGTGACATTCAATGTGTGTGGGGAGAAATTAATCTTGTGGGTATTTGAGTTTCCACAAATGCACGGTGACATCATACGTCGGCTATCAGACAAGTCAAAGAGGTCTGTACATGTGGTCACTGGTTTGCTCTCCTTTTTGTTGGTTTGTTTGCTGATTCGAGCGTCAGCCGTTTGATCTGGCAGAAACAAAATGAAGTTCATAAAACTTCCCTTGTGACTACATGATGATAAATTAAAATCCCCTGAATGACAAGGAACAATAAACCTCCACCCTGGCTCTTCATACTCTTCAGCAGTCAACAGGAGACTGTGGTTGAACTGGGTCGCTCTCATGTGTGAATGTGTATATATGCACAAAGGTGAGGCAGGGTTATGTTGGAAAAGCCTGCAGGTGCAAACCTACTTGTGGCTATTAAAACTACCTTCTCGTCACCCACGTGAGTTATTCACTTGCTGCAACAGTACGACCATTTTTAGCCCTGGAAAAGAAAGTCAAACAGTTTTCCAATTAGACTGGAACTGCCTCAAGAAAAACAGCAACCAACAGGCTGTTTTGTGAGGTAGAGGGAGAGTGAAGGAAGGAGGGTGAAGTGTGCACAGGGTGCTAGTGTTGTAAAATGTGGAGGTATGGTGGTAAAAGGATGATTCTTACAATCAAATTAATCCAGGAAAAGGTGTAAGGATAGACCGATACATCGGCCGGCCGATATATCGGGCCGATATTTGAGTTTTTTTATTTGTATCGGCATCGGCCGATACGCGCGTGGGTTCGCGGATTCATTTTTCCCTGGCATGATTTACAGACAGGCATCCACGGGCAGCTCTGTGTTGCTGGAAGACCCTGCAGCGCACATGCAGCGTTACCCCTCACCCACTGGTAGAGTGGTGAAAGCAGCCCTGGAAGCTTCTTCAGGACAACGGTAAGTTTTAAACTTTCAAAGCCTCTAACTGTTAAACAGTATCGGCCCCAAATATCGGCTCAAGAAAATCGGCAGTCCATAATCGGTCATCGGCTAAGGGTAATGGAAAAAAATCGGTATCAGCATCGGCCCTAAAAAATCCATATCGGTCTATCCCTAAAAAGGTGTATTGCATCTATACAATTCATCACTGATGTATGGTTCATTCACATTTGGTTTCAGGTCTGTTAATATGCACTGCCTCTGGATAAAACGTAATGACATACAGAAAATTGTGCACGAAATTCAACTATCTCTCCACTGTTCATTTATCTTGAGAAGCGTATCTATGATGGATTCATATATTCCTAACTGACACAATGCAAGGGGAGGGTGGGCTGTCCTGGGGTGAGCAATTGAGTTAAAGGCCAAGTGCTCCTATCGAGGGAAACCAATTTGTCCCAAGGGCGTCTTCATCACTTTATTTGGCAGAGATGCAGCGTGCTGAGCGGGGAATAACCATTCCAAACTGAGGGGAAATCACTCTAATCTCTCATCTCCACACCCACAGTCCTTTGTTCCACTTTTGTGATGGACTCTAACTCAAAACAGAACCAAACAATGAAAACTGGAACAGATTCCTCTATGAGGCTGAGCTTGTGCGCAGAACAATGCACCTCTGACAAAAATTTGAAAATCTGTGTCCCGTTATATTGGGGTGTGTTCCTCGAATTATGTTTTTTGTTTTCTTTTTTTGGTCCTTACTGAGAAAGTTTACAAGAAAGTCATGAGTTAACAAGGCATTTTAATTACAACTGATGGTAGTTAAAATTATGCATATAACTGCCAACTTGCTTTTAGGCCCCATAACCTCACTCAAATCTTTTGAGGTTGACCATAATTCAACATATGCTTATACAAGTGTATGTATGCAGCAGGAAAAATCTATATAGAAACATAATAAAACAGTTACCCTATTCTCATTATTTAGGGAGTATGAATAGGAAATATGTGCTTATCCAGTCTTACTTTACTTTAAAAGTTTTCATTATAAATTAAATGACTGTTCAAAGTTTTATTTGAACAAGACAAAAGGTCAACAACTTATGTACATTTCTGCACTTTTTTTCTGGTTCACTGTTTGCAATGTTCTTGTCCAACATGTTCTGGTTGTAGTCAGAAGTTTGGTGCAAAGTGATCGACAAGCAAAACCCTCAGGGAAGTGTTTAGCAATATTCAGCTTGGTGTCGACTCAACTTTCACCCACACTGTTGATCTCATTTTGTTGAACAATTGTCAGAAAAAGTGTGAGTGAAGCCCCTCTGGATATGCGGTAATTTCATTGCAAATTGGACGATAAACAAAAAAAGCCCTTTGGGGAACAACTGTTTTAATATTATGGAAATTAGCTCCAAATTATTTATGTAGACCATGGAAATTAAATTTGATTTAAAATGCGCAATATATATATATATATAGCATCCCTGTGTGGCCACTTGAGACCCTATTTCACAACTTTTTTTATACTTGTGACAAGTGTGCAAGTCTCTACAATCTCATTGAAAAATGAGGAAGTGTACAACGAAAAAGAAAAGAGCTTAAACCCCTAACAGGTCAGCAACAAGTCAACACTTCCTTAAGCTCATGTGTCAACATGGACATGGCCAAGCCTGACAAGGACACGACTGAGAGCCAGAGCAGAAAGCAGACATCGTCCTGCTGATTTGGTCTGGCCATGTCATCGCTGCCACATACACAGGTGGCTTTACATGCCTGCCATCACTGCCACAGGTGTATGTCTCCTCTCCACCTCCCTGACACGTACTGTCCTGCTGCCTGCATCACCATAGCTACTCAGACAGCCACTGATATCAGTCCTCACACACACAAATACACACAGAAATGACTAGGAAACAGGCACTGGCTGTTCCTCTCATGAAATCAGTGACAACACACAATGTTTCTGCCCTCCACACACAATCAACGTATGTGTGATGCTGCTGGGATAAAGTATCTTGGTAAACAATGATTAGCCTTAGGAATATCTGAACTATGAGTGATAAAAATCAGGCCTCAGCCTCCTAAAGTACACACACAAACACCTCCTCGTCCGACTGTACCATTCATAATAAGCACTGAAGAACAGAACAGAGCACACTGATAAACACTGAGGTATAAATAAAATAAATACAGGGCAGGCTATGCCTCTGTGTGTGTGTGTGTGTGTGTGTGGACTACAGCTCTCATCTAGGTCATTCTTGGCTCAAACATCACCTCTCCAACTCTCCTCTTCTTGCTTGTAATGGCAACGAGTGGCAACACTTCAGCACAAGCTGTGTGATGGCCATCCGACAGACCCTAAAAATAGCTACCGTGTGTACATTAGAAAAGTACTGTAGGCAAGTGAAGGGTCAGTATTTACAAGGTATAAAGTTGGGAAGCTGGGATCGCTGCCCAGGGCGAGCATACTAACCGTCTCTCCTAGACAGACAGGAGAATAAAAACAGACCGCCTACGTTTAGGGAGTTATTCCCCTCTCAGCTACAAAACACAGCTACTGCGTGTGTTGTAACTTATCTAAGTGCTTGTTAATGCCCCCCAAACCCAAACAGCCTGTATGGTTGAATGGAGGCTTGAAGGAGGGGGCTGTGGGTGTGTAAAGAGCCAGGTTACTATCCAGTGTTTTGTGGGCTGCCTATTAATGACAAAGACAGAATATTCCTCCTGTCTCTGCCAGGTTTCACTACCCTTCTACTCCCCTTTCACTCAATCTACAACTTTACACTTACAAATAGAGCTAAAAAAAATGTGTTTTGCATAACCACAGTACAACTAAACACATGTAGTTAGTGTGCCTAATTTTGGCACTGGTGAAGGGAGCGGCGGAGTATGACCATACTGCTGTAGAATGCAACAAGAATGTTTAATATGAGGGCAAACTTCCAATTACACACTTGCTACCCCCAACAATGTATGAGAGACTGTGACTCTTTTTGCTCATAGACTCAGGGGAAAACTGATGTTACTATAATACTGCATTACTGATTGCTCACAGCTTAAAAAAAAGCAGAAAACAACATTCATGAAAGTGGACTCATTTCACATGGGCTTTTTACATTATACTCTCTTACCTGTCCTCATCTACATCCATGGTAATATGGATGCCAAACAGGCTGTTGACAGCAGGGGTGGGCAGGCCGAGGCCCTCGCCGATGAAAGGCTTTACACCATCTTTCCCTGGCACCACAACTGCACCGGGCTGAGGTAGGGCATCAGACTTCTGCCTACTATCTTCTGCCTGGTTACTGAAGACTGTTGTTGCTCCTCCATGGGCTCCTTGAGGCTTGACGAGTCCTCCTGTGCCAGGCGCCTGACTTGGCACTCCCGGAGGGGTGTTGGTGGTACTGGGCACTGTGGCAGGTGTGTTCTGGACACCGCTGTGGGAGGTGGTGGTGGCGATGGAAGGTGCAGGAGCGATGCTGACATGCTGCTGTTGACTACTTCCTGGAGGGATGGGTGCCATGGCTGATGTGTTGCCCACTTGCAGCAGGAGAGGCTGCAGGGGCTGGGCTGTGGCTGCCTCCCCACCCAGCCCCTGGGCTCCCGGACCAGCAGGGGTGATTAGAGGCGAAGGTACCTGGCTGGTTGGATGCCCCACAGGGTGGGCAGACATGGGAAGGCTCTGAGTGCTTGAGACAAAGTGCTGCTGACGATAGTCCGCCTGGCCAGCTGAGTGGCCAGTAGGATGAGTAGAATAGGCATACTGCTGGGCCTGCGAGGCAGGAGGCATAATGGGAGACTTCTGGTGCATGGCACCATGGTGCACACCATTGAGGCTATTAGAGAGGAAGGTCTGGGGAGCAACAGGCTGCATATTGACCTGAGCCTGTTGTTGCGATGCTGTAGTTGTGTACCCTGTGGGCTGGAAGGCACTTGCCCCACTCCCTATCTGAGGAGCCAAGCTGTAGCCTGGCTGTAGAGGCTCTTGAGGGTAGGGGTGGGCAGGGTGCATGGTGGAGTGGCCACTGTCCCCGCTGTTGTCCGACGCCTGTGCAGAAAAAGCACTGCTAGTGACCACAGAGTTGCTGGTGGCCCCTAGCCCACTGTCCCTGTCTATACTGTGATCATGGATTACAGCTGGCTTTATGCTATCCACAGTTCGATTAACATTTGAATCTGAATCTCTTTCATAGAACTCAGTGCATGTCCACCTGCCCCGTCTGAAGGGCTCTCCGGTACCATGGTCAAGTTTAATGACCCTGAAACGGGAACTACAGCTGGTGTTCACAGGAGCTGTGTGAGCCACGCTGGTGGAGACGGTGGCAGCAGGAACTGTGCTGGTGGCTGTCGACGGATGGGTGGCTGAGCTCGGAACAATAGACTGAGTTGTAGCTGGCACAGGCACACTTCCTCCTAAATTGTGTGGGGTGACACGACCAGTGCCTAAACTTTTATAAGATAGTCCCCCGTTGACAGGACCTGTGCTTGGCGGCTGGCCCTCCTGAGGCTCCCCTACGTTGTTTAAGGTTTCCTCGGATGAACTCCTCTCACACACCCCGAGATCGGCCCGAGAGACGTCAAATATTTCCGACGACACGTCCTCTGTGCGGGACTCGTCCGGATCGTCAAGGCTCTCGGTGTCATCGGTGATGCTGCTGGCCGCCACCTGAGCCTGCGTTACACTCGTGATCTGGAAACAACTTTTCTTCTTCGCCGGCATTTTCGACATGGTGACTATCTGCGTCAAGTCTGTCTGCCCCCAGATAAAAAGTGCTGTACTAATGTCTTGCGAAGTTATTCACAGCTGAGGGATTTGACACAGACACGTACCGTCACAGGACATTTCCATAGCGTTCCTCTTCCTCTCTCTTGTCGGAGAAAAGTGTCACAACCTGGGCCAGACCCTGCGAAACTCCCAACGAGGTGTCCGGTCACAGCACACGGGCGACTGCTGTTCTCCCACGCCGGCCTCTCTGACACCCGGTCGGCCTTTCTTGTGTCCGGGCAGCGGAGTTGCAAACAGGCCCTTGTCAAAGTTCTTGTTCAGCAGCTGCCACCGGTACTTTAGTCTGAGGCGGGCCCGGACTCACAGCCCACTCTTCTCTCTCAGCTATATATGTGTTTCTTGCCGACTAGCTAAGTTAGCTGATTTTAACGTTAGCTAGTTTTCCCTACCTCGGTACCAGCATGTGCGACATCATGATGTAAACAAATCCATTGGCTTTCCAAAAAGAGTATATAATCCAGCGGTGGACAGAGAAAATGCCCCAAAGTCGGCGAAGTTTTGCCTTTCGCCGTGTGGACAGCTCACTTTTGGCAGCTGCTACTAGCAGCTAGCTGACAGATAACCACTTTACCACAGCGGCAGTATGCTAACGGGTAGCTAACTCCTGCCTGCCGCTCTTCACCCAACCACTCGACAAGATGGCAAGAGCGAAGTGCATCCTGGGTATGGAGGTCAAACTAGTTTCCTGTTAGCTCAAAAAACATTTTTATAAATCAACGGCACCACAAAAATTTATATTATGTACCGCTTGTGAAACCGTTGAGGGTGTAACAGTTTTAAAATAGCTTAATTTATTCTCCGTGGCCAAAACTATTTTTTTCTCGCTGTCGTCACTTCCGGTTAGCGTCCCACCGAGTAGAAGCAGGAAAGCGTTCGGCAGCTATCGATAGATGTTAGTTTTGGAGGGATGTAGCCTTATTATTGGGGGATTACACCGCCGGATAACCACACGTATAATATATTTCGTAGTTTAAATTCTCACTGTTCTTTAACATGTTAATACCACTGCTATCATTATGAATATAAGCATCTGTACTGTCATATCAGCCTACCTCATGTAGCAACCTGTTACATTAATCATTATTCCAGCACCTTTTGCACTGTGCAGCATTACATACTGTCGTACTGTTTACAATTCAATTGTGTGAATATTTCATATAGGTTAGGTACCTTATAAATTGGTGTTCATATCTGTGCAGCTGTGTTGTCCTTGTTTTAGCCTCAGCTCATGCCTGGGCTGTATATGTACCTTCATTAAGAGAATCAAATAAAAAAAGACGAATAGGGCTACTCTGCCATTAAAATTCATTTTGATTGTGATTCTGAATGACAAATACAGTCTAACAGGTAGCATTTGCATTAACTGTCGCTGATACTACAGTCATGAAATTAACAATGCCCCATTTAGTTGTCTAAAGTCACCTGAAATAAGTAACTGTCCATTTTTGTAAGCTCTCTACTGATCTCTGCTGCAAAATTCCATTTTTATCCAGGATTAAAGTCTGAAACATTAATTCTATCGAGAGGCGGTCAAAAACCACCTTTGAATGAATCACATTCACTTATCTCTGGGAAATTACCGAGCCAGTATCCTGTTCAGACACAGCCTAGCTGACTTGGCACAACGTTGCTTAACGAAGATAACAGTCATGACTGCAGTGTTTTTGAATGAACAGGTTTGAGTGAAATTAATAATAGTGTGTGTGTTATCAGTTTTGTCCCTGTGCACATGTGGAGGTCATTGAGATAGATAAAAATGGCTACTTTATTAACCCCAAAAAAGAAATTGCTGAGATAACAAATCAAATTAGTTACAAAACAGACAACATAACGACACTCAAGAAAAAATTAGAATAAACAAATTACAATAAACTAAATCTTGAACTAAATGAAGCTGACATCATGAGGCAGCTCATATGAGATTGATAAAATCATCTCGCATTGTTGTTGCTGGAGGAATATCTGATGTATTAACTCATAATGCATACCACTGAATTACTGTTTAGCCATGTGCTAAAACAGATTTAACCCACTTCTCATGTGTGAAGGTCAACTCACAACTGCTTTTTAGTCATCAAAACATCTTGCCCTTTCAGTGTAAGGACTGGCTGAAAACACTACCAACCAAACTTCTGATCGCAAGTAAACTCAGGATTTCGCCTGCCAAAGTCATCTTCAATTAGTAACATAATAAACAGTAAACACTGGTTCAGCACAGGCTTGCCATCTGCCAAACCAACTAGCAATGAAAACAGAATTTCTAGTATAATGTACAGTTTAGTATTTTTCTTGTGGCCAGTGTTCATATCTAGTCATGTCCAGGAAACAGGAAATAACTCATACATATGGCCCGTGACTGTGGTGACCTCTAAGGGTTGCGCACAAATAAAAAACATATTCTATCTTAAGAGACATACACTCCCGTCTGTACAATGGCATTTGCAGCATTTCATAACTTCGACTGCATTTTCCTCCAGTTTTGACTTTCTTTTTTTTTTTTTTTCAAGATTATTTTATTGGGCATTTTAGCCTTTATTGATAGGCCAGCTGTAGATAGGCAATAAGGGGGAGAGACAGAGGGATGACATGCTGCAAAGGGCCACAGATTGGAAGCTAACCTGAGTCACTGCAAAGAACTTTGCCTATATGGGGCCCTCACTCTACCAGCTGGGCTAGAGGTTGCCCTTTGACTTTCATTCTTGCGGCCAATGTTAATGACATGAATGTTAAATATGTTTATCAGAAACAAATTGAGAAACACATATGATCTCTAGTATCCTCCCTGGTGCATCTCCAAATATGTTATTTGACTTGCTGCAGAGACTGAAACTGTGATTACTGCACCTCCCTTTTATTGAATATGTTCATTTAAAATCAGACCCCTAGTCCTGCTTTGGAAGAATCAAAAATATTTACCATCACACTATAATGGTGTTGATCAATTTGCTTCTTCACGAGTGGTTATTGCTTAATAAAACTAAGACCCAAAGCAGCACAGGAATATTCACTTTTTCAAACATAAAGTACAGATGTTTGAAACAGAAGTTAAGGAGGTTAGAGCCTGTGACACACCTCTTATCAGGAGACTGTAATGTCTCTTTGACACTGCCCAGGTGATATCACAACGCACACCTTAATTTATACTAATACTAACTCATACATAACCACAGTGACTCATGTGTGACCTCAGCTCGTAAGGCGTCCCCACCATCAGTAAACCTGGTAATCCATTTTGGATAAGAGGAACTGTATTTCCAAATAAACTACATGTACATTATTACTTTTAGACACTCGAGTAACTCATTTATCTGATTTCTCACCCGCAGTGTATTGATTACTTTATGCCCTGATGGTGACTCATTAGCAATGACCTGATGACTAGATGTCACTGTTTCAATAAAGGCCACCAAGTCTTGTGCTTGACTTCAGCACAGTTTGTCATAAGATCAACACATGACACGAAGAAATGGAAACAGGTCATGATGTTTACCTATGTTCGAGTGACATCAGTTGTTTTTTTAATTGGCCTTGCCCAAAAGTGTTGTCAGAGGAATGTTTTCTGACCTGTCTTTAACTGATATACAGAGGAAAGTTAGATCATGAGCCAAAAACAAAAGTGATCAGTGCACATATGCATTCAACCACAGGTCCAGACTTTTAAAAAAGTTTCACTGGGGGTCATCGTGGTGGCTTTGTGACCCTTAAGACCATGTAATCGCAAAAACCCTGGTGAAAGTTCAGCCGGGGATCTTTGATGCATCTCCCCCCATTTCCTGTCAGCTCTCATCCCTCACCTATAAAGGCAGGAAAAGTAGTAATAAAACATTTTCACTACTTCCTCATGAACGCATTTCACCTTCCCATCCTGTCTGTCTTCTATTCATTGCACTTATATTGCTCTTAAAAACTACACAACTGTGTGAGAAAGGGCAAAACAACTAACCATACTATTTTCATAAAGTTTATTACATGGGTGATACACAGTGAGGTTGGAAATTGCTTTGCCGTATTATTCCCCTGACACGACTGACTAATCATTGAATTACAGAGTTACATAATGTCCGGTTGCCGGCTCACAAGGTCTGCCTGACGAAAACAATTTCATGCAGTCCTCAGATAAGACGGAGGAGATGGAAAACAGCTCAATATAGATTTGGGCTGACACACAGTAGTAAAATATATAACTTGATTTTCATTCCTGCATTTTATTTGGGGTGGAAAAACAGATAAAATGTCCAGAGATTATGACTTAATTTATGGAAACATGATACAAGAAGCAGTAAGATTATTTGTGTGGGAAAAGTACTTTAATGTGGCTCTTTTGGAGGCTGTGGCTTTATGATTAAAAGTATTCAGTTATCAGTTTGTGTATGTACCAGAGGACTCAAGACACATGACTCAAGTCACAATTCTGATGACTTTAGACTCCTATTGACAGAATCATAAACAGACTTGCAACTTGACTTGAACTTTAACACCGGTGACTCGTGACTTTACTTAGACTTGAGCCTTTTGACTTGAAAGTACATGATACCTTCCTCCATGCCTAAAGATTAAAACATATTATTCAAAAAGAAATCAATTAATTTATCTTCATGTCCTCAATAAACTAACTTTAACGCTAGTCATTCCCAGCCAGTTGACACTTAATTTCTCAGATCCACTTTGTTTGAAGCCATCTGACAGCATTCAATCATGTTGTAGGAGAAAACCATGAAGAACTAAGGTTACATAACTGAGCACCAGTTGGAATAAATAATACCAAAAATAATTTTATTCGCATACAAAAGCTATGCGTAGGTCAACAAAAAACACATTGAAGTATGTAAAATATGTGACTTGCAAACTGCAGACAGAGAACCAGTAACTTCAGTCTTTGTTCGACATTTAAAGATGCACAAACCACAGACTCGAGAGGCTAACATAGTTAGCGAGCTAATGTTTGATTAACTGCTTAAAATCTAAATGACTTTTTGACAAACTTCCATCCATCCTCATCTGCTCTTCTGGGGATGGGTCACAGGGAACAGCAGGCTGAGCTGAGTTCCCCCGATGTCCCTCTCCCCAGCAACGCTCTTCAGCTCCTCCTGAGGCGTTCCCAGCCCAGATGAGATATAGAATTCCTCCAGTGAGTTCTGGGTCCACCCTGGGTCCTCCTACCAGTTGGACATGCCTGGAAAAGCTCTAATGGGAGGCACCAAGGAGGCCACCCTACGGAGGGACCTCACTCCTTGCATCCATGATCTCATTCTTTCGGTCACTACCCAAACTTCATGACCATAGATAAGGGTTGGGATGTAGATGGGCCAGTAAATCGAGAGCTTTGCCTTCCAGTTCAGTTTTTTAACAAGCTTGTTTTAACAAATAAATGCAAATTTTAAAATGCATTCATGATTTTTGTTAATTTAACATTATTATTTTGTTGTTAAAATGACATTACATTTGGTAGAGAGCGCATTATGACTTGTTTGGGCCTCAAAATGTGACTTGGGACTTGAGTTAGGACTTGAGCACACAGACTTGAAACTAACTTGTGACTTGCAAAACAGTTTTAAATTGTTTTAAGATTAGATTCTTTTCATTAGCCAAACATTCCTCCTTACTCCTCTCTAAATGGATCTGGACACAACTCCCTCT